TAAAATATTATTTTATATAAATATTATATATTATATTATATAATTATTATAAATATTAAAATATATTATTTAATTAATAATTTCAAATGAAATTGCGAGAAATTTGTAATATTTTGTAATAGTTTCATAAAACACCGATAGGGGTACGATCTTCTCGTGATTTTAACGAATATATTTTATTGTAAAGTTGCAGCTATTAAATAAAAAAACAACAAATTTGAAAATGCATCCCAAATGCATCCCAAAAAGAAGGTTATTTCTTATTTGAAAATAGAAAACAGTTATGGGAAATTGGGAGTGGGGGTTAATGATGAACTTTGAAGTTATTTGACAAGGAATAATTTATAAATGGACAATGAATCAGATCCTTATCCATTGGGGGGTGAAAGTGGGGGGTAGTGGTAGATTTAGATAATATTGAATAGAAAATAGATTCTTTAATCTAAAATCTAGTTTTGTCTTTTTCTAATGTTCGTTTGACGTTTTCTATACTCTAGTTACTTTGTTTTAAATTATTTCTATCTTTGTTTCTTTCTTTGTTTTGTGTCTTTTAGAACACAAATTACCGAGCGTTTAATTACCGTCCGATATCCAATGAATGGTCATTAATCACCATACCCGATAAACCGTAATTTTCCTGGACGACGATAAAATCTGTCGCACGACGTACATACTCTTACATGTATATATATATATATATATATATATATATATATATATACGTGTGTGTGTGTTTGTATTATACTTGTACTCTTGATAGGTTCGTTTAGCTTCACCGATAATACTAGGATCGTTTATTTTATGTTTTATTCTATGGGTGTGTAAAGAAGTCTTATTACATTTCATTTAACTTTCACGTCATTTATTTAACTAACACTTTTAATTAATTCGTTTTAACAAAATTCTTTGTGAAAATGTTTTATATTATTATTATTATTATTATTATATTTGTATTAGTGAAACTTAAAGAAGAAGTGATCAACCATTAGGTTGAATGAAAACAATTAAATGATTAAACCCTTTGACGTATATATGCGTTTGATAAAATTGTACAATATGTAATAGTATAATTATTGTTTTGTGAGTCTTATTACATGAAAATAATATTAACAAACTAAACTTTGACGCATATATGCGTTCGATAAAGTTGCACAGTAAGTGTCAGTTTGATTATTGTTTGAAGTTTTGTTACATGAAAATTAAATAAACTAACTAAACACAAATTTTTCAATTATTTAATTATTATATAATTTATTATTAATCAATATGATAAAAGTTAATAATTAATAATAAATAATTTTTTTTCTAAACAAACAAACAAACAAAAAAACACTTCACTTAAAAGTATTCAGCATTGAAAGGGTTAAAAAAAAAACATTGATGTGAAAGAAGACCTTTTCTCAGGATCAAAAAGAAGATTCTCAACGATCCTTTATCATCTAAAAGTCGTCGTATCCTATAGTACAAAAAAAAAAGAAAAGAAAAGATAAAAAGATAAAAAGATAAAAAGATAAAAATAAAAAGAAGAGGCAGAAGGAAGGCATCGGCTTCATCTCTTCGGTAGCCCGTCTGGTTTTTTGGTAGCAGTTTGCCGTAGCTTCACCGCCACTGAGTAGGGATAGCTGCTGCTTCTCGTCTGCCCTTAGGGATCCCGAAGAGAGTACTCTTTCCCTTCCTTTCCCTTCCGAAGGGAGGATTGGTAAAGATAGATCTCAAATGTAGTAGTAGTAGTAAAAGGTACAAGAGGTTTTCAGTCACTCATTCACGATTCAATCAAAAAGTATTTTTCTTTATATTTAGAATTTATTTTTTATATTTGGAATATTTTTTTTTTTATTTATAAAATTGATCTTTTTATATTTAGAATTTTTTTGGGGGTATTTTTAAAATTTATTTTCGTATATTTAGAATTTATTTTTTAAATCTTGTATTTATGTTATATATAACACTAAAGATCACTAACACTATTTTATAAATATATTTAAATATTATGTATATAAATATACTAATACTATATATTATATACTATACTATTACTATGTATATATATATTTTTAAATATTTTTATATATAATGTATAAACCTTGCAAAAATATATACTATTGCATAGTTGTGCTATGCAATATATTGCATATCACATGATTTTACTATATATATATAATTAATTAATATAAAAAATACTATTATTTTATTTAATTATAATTAATTAAAAAAATTTTTTTAATTTTAAATATCAAATATCTATATATTTTTTAAATTATTAATAATATTAAACCAACATTCTCATAGATTTAATAACTTGAATGTATTTAATTCGTACATTTAAAAATATAAAATTAATTAAAATTCGAACAAAAAAAAAAAGAGAAAAGGTTGAGTTAAACCCATCGCTAAAATGAAAGAAGAGTACACCCGGTATATATCGGTAGATCTTGTGGTAGAAAAAGATCAAGCGTGTTCCACCCACGCCCACGTCTCCAACCTGTTCTGTGTTTCCTCTCGCGTCGAGTCCGTGGTTACAGGTGCCTCCTTCGGGGCATTCCTTGCTAAGGAATTCTTCACGGATGATCCTCCTTTCTCCTCCTACTCCTCCTCGCTTCTGCTACCTTGCAGAATCCTTTTGCTCCTCACTAGACCCCCTTCACCCTTTCCACTTTCCTTAGATCGACGTTTCGTCCTCGACCACCTCGTCGAGTCTCTCATCGTTCGTCTGATCGAATGTGTTTTGTATTCGATGATCTCAAACTTTGAGGTTTCATCTTTTTCAAATTTCGAATGATCATTTTTCTTTGACCTTGATTAACATTAATTTTTAATATTTTATTGTTTTTTTTTTCTACCCTTAAGAATTTAATATTAATTTCTATCATTTAAAGTGGTACAGGAACACGGATAGAAACTGTTCAGTGTGTGTTTCTTGTATTTTAAATTTGCAAAATTAGTAATTATTTTTATTTTGTTTTATTTATTGCAAATGGTACTTTATTTATTGAGATTTAACATTGTTAATTGTATTTACTAAAAATATATATATTTTATATATTATATATAAAATATATACATATTTACCATAATATTCGTCATAAAATGGTATTTATTTATAATATAATTCATTTATAATATAATATTATTTATAATTTTTTTTTAATAGGATTTTTATTAAAATTTGACTTTATTAATGTGGTATTTTATTTATAATATATATTTTATATATTATATTTATTTTAATTTAATTAAAGCAAATTAAATATATAAAATATATATATTTACTATATATTTACTATAAAATGCGTGTGGTATTTATTTATAATATATATTTTATATATTTTATATTTTAATTTTCTAATATTTATTTCTTAACATTTTATATAATTTTATTTTATTATTTAATTTGTTTTAATTAAATTTATATAATATATAATAAATATATATATATATATTTACCATATATTCATCATAAAATGGTATTTATTTATAATACCATTATAATATAATTGATTTATTACATAATATTATTTATAACAGTATTTATTAATATTTGACTTTACCAATAATAATTGATTTAAAAAAAATAGTACACAAACACACACACACACAAACACAGATAAAAACTCTTCAATATATTTTTTATATTTACAATTCTTCAAACTAATATTTAAATTCTTTTTTATTATTATTTATTGCAAAATACCCAATCTTCCAATACTTTCATTTTAAAGTTAGTTAAAGAAGAAGAAGAAGAAGAAGAAAAATGAAAAAAAAAAAAAAAGATACAAAATATATGAAGGTATCGTAAAAAAAGGTGATTAAAAATATCCCCCAGTAAAAAAGGGTGGTAAATAACGATGACGATGTAGTTGATGACGACAACGATGATGACGGTATAAGGGAAAGGGAAAGGAGATAAAAGGGAGAAGATCAACCAAGTACGCCCACACCTTTTTTCTTTTCTTTTTTTTTTCTGTTGCTTTTCTTTTTCTTTTTCTTTTTCTTTTCTTTTCTTTTCTTTTCTTTTCCTTGGGGACCTGTTCTCGGCTTTTACGTTCTGACATCTTTTCACTCCGTTTACGAGTCCCCTTTTACGTTTTACGACCGATCATCGGAGCCCTTTCTCTTCTCTCAAGAGAAGGAAGAAGATTCTTTTTTAACCGTGCGCCGGTCGGCTTCTCTTTTTCTCTGTTGACGACGACGACGACTATCGGTGCATCTTCTCGATGACGACAAAAACAACAAAAAACGTATATATATATATATATAATAAAAATGAAAAGAGTGGGAGTGGGGATTAAAAGAGAGTCGGCTTTCTTTGCTTAAATTCACACAAGAAAAATATAAGAAAAAGAAAAAAAAAATTAGCAAATATTTAACCAGTTTACTATGATTGACGAGTATACTCGTCATAGAGAAGTAAAATTGACAAGTATAATTGTCATGGCTCGATTCTGGCGATACAAAATCTAAAAAAAGTTTGGAAAGTGTATTTGTCATTTGTTGGGTTGCAAAATTATATTTAAAAAAATGTTAAGAAAGTAGGAACACCCTAAATAGGTTAATTTAAGGTTATAGGTTAACCTTATAGGTTAATTAGACAAATATTTGTATTATATATTGGGTTTATTTTATGGGGAGTAAGTAAAGTTTCAAAAAGTTATGGGAATGTATTTTCTATTTGTTAGATCGCAAAATTATATTAAAATAAATGTTAAGAAATTAGGAACACCCTAAATAGGTTAATTTAGGGTTATAGGATAACCTTATAGGTTAATTATACAAATATTTGTATTACATTTATTATATTGGGTATATTTTCTTTAGGGTAAGTAAAATTTCCAAAAATTAGTCTATTTTTTATTTGTTAGGTCGCAAAATATTATCAAAAACAAAAATCTTAAGAAAGGACACCCTAATTATACCAATTATTAAACCTACACGAATATATGTACATCAAACGCATAATAATAAAAACATAAATGTAAATAATTAATTAATTTGTGTTACAGGACGAGGTGGGAGGTAGTACGACGGTTGTAGCAGAGGGTGTAATAGGCGGCATAAGGGGCCCAGGCGGCGGGTGCCGCGCATCCTCGATGACTATGGCCGAGAGCGCCGTGGAGGACGCAGCAGCCGCGCCCCCGGGTCCGGCAAAGCCGCCCCCGCCCTCCTGTACCAACAATAATACCCTGGCGGCAACGGCTAATAGAAATCATAGGAATCCAAGAAAGAGAAAAAGATTGGCCCAAGTACTTGACATATTGCAAGCTCATCGTAGTTCACCCTCGGAGGGTGAGGTTTTAAGGTTTGAGGGTAACGGTCCGGCATCTGAGGAAGACGAGGACGTTTTTAGTTCGCCAAGGTCGTCTTCGAGGTCGGCTATTGACAGTCCGTCAGCTTTGAACATTCAACCATTGAGGCTTAAGGACGAGGATTCACCCGTAACACCGACGGGTGAGGAAGAAGAAAATCAAATGTCCAACAGCACCAACACAACTACGACTACGACGACATCTACGACGACGGCTATGACAACAACGACAATGGTTGGTGAAGGTGGTGGAGAGGAAGATCAACGAAATCATCATCGTCATCATCACAATCATCATAATCATCATAATCATCATAATCATCATCATCACAGAAGTAACCGTCATCATAATAATAATCGTAACTTACCTTACAACAATAAAACTCGGCACAACCCGAATCAAAAATCGTCCACGTCGAATCGTTCATCAACGGGCAAACCGAACAACGGTGCTTGTACATGCATACAGTGCAGTCAGTCCCCTAATTCAAGTGGTGGTGGTGGTGGGATGATGTTGCATTCACCAACTTCCCCGTTAACACCGTTGACTCCGTTGACCCCGCTGACACCATTGTCCCTACCACCAATCACACCGTACAGTTTCGAACAATACATGCACACCAAATACCTGCCAGATATGTTTCGTGGACGTAGTCATTCGGATACCGATTTGTTGTCAAGCTGGGAACAGAGGATACCACCACCGGCCTCGACTACGTCATCGTCGTCCATGTCATTGATGGTAAATCAAAATCATCCAACTCGTAATAGCGGCTCGTTAGAAAGCGAAACGACGACAAGTACGACGACGACGACGACGAGTCCGCAGGAGTTACCGTTGGATCTTTCGATGAAAAATTTAATGGCATCGGCAGCAGCAGCAGCAGCAGCAGCGGCAGCGGCAGCAGCAGCATCAGCAGCAGCATCAGCAACGGGGGGTAATAGACCTCCGGCACTTCGACTGTTACCAGCTGGCATCGTGACGAGGGGTTCCGTGAGTGTACCAGTTGTCAGAGGAGACGTTGCATCACCTACTACGAAGGAGAGCGTTGCTGTGAGATATAACCTTGAAGTTTCACCAGTAGTCGAGGAGATGCCGCCTGGTGCCGATTTGGCATACGTATGTCCGGAATGCGGGCAGATGTTTAGCTTGCACGACAGATTAGCCAAACACATGGCATCGAGGCATCGCAAACAGGGACCACACGATGCTTCAGCAAAAGCATATCTTTGCGATGTTTGTCAGAGGAGCTTCGCCAGGTCGGATATGTTGACGAGACACATGAGGTTGCACACAGGGGTAAAACCTTACACGTGCAAAGTGTGCAACCAGGTGTTCAGCAGGTCGGATCATTTAAGTACTCATCAACGAACCCACACCGGAGAGAAACCTTACAAATGTCCTGACTGTACCTATGCTGCATGTCGCAGGGACATGATCACCAGGCATCAAAGGACCCACAATAAATTTCTTGAAAACCAAGGAAGATCTTCAGGAACAACAAGTAGTGGGACTACCAAAACTGAACCTGGTACTTTACCATCTGATGGTACAACTAGTCCAACGTCTTACGGACAATCAATCCAACCATCATCACCTTCATCAACTGGCCCACCTATTAAAACCGAATGACGACGAGCCATTGGACGACCATGGTTCCTTCTTTCATCCTCACCTCGAGCAGCTTCTTCAAATTCAAGAAAAACACGTGGACGTTCTTCTAACTCAGTCGTCATAGCTAATTCCATTTTGTCCAATCGCGAACTCGAGCGTGGAACTTTGCGTCGTCGTACACGCGAATCTCGACGTTGATAAAAAAAACAAACACAAATATGGAGAATTCTTATCTCGGACTGTATTTAACCCTTAAAATCTTAAAATCCTTCATCTAACACACCCCCTTTTTTTTCTCTTCGTACACGATTTTTATTCGAGTATTGGAGGCAAATTAATATTTTTGTTTATTTTCATCTGTAATGCAGAAAATAAGACTCTCTCGCTCTCTTTCTTTTTTTCTATGATCGATCATCTTAATTAAATTGTTAAAAAAATTTTAAATGTACTACTATTGTACCACACACACACACACACACACACACATACACACACGTGCCAAACAAAGTTTTCCTCGATTTAATTGGATAAATTTGGGGGTGGAAATTATATATATATATATATAATAATTTTGACATAAATATCTATAAGTAGATAAACGTGAGATAATTTGTGAAAATATTATAATTCTTTTTGATTTTTTATTTAATTCACAGGTAAATGAAAAAATAATTCAAGTAAATTTAAAGAAAATTTTTGGGTTTTTTAATTAATAGGTGAATTAAATAAAATAACTCAGAGATGAACATAAAGGTTTGAGGGTTTCCCATTTTCATGGGGTGTGTCAGTGGTTGTTGTGCCAAATACGATTTAAATATTGAACTAATTTAAACCACAATTATTTTCTTATTAATTCGTGAAGTTAATTTCATTTCATTTTGTTTAAATTTAAAGTTTCTTCGTTGTACGAGAAAATAAACAACAACAAAAATTGTTTAAGCCTTGTCCTATATATATATATATATATAAAAGTATGTGTATTTTTTATTTTTTTATATAAATTATATTACCATTTAATCGTTTGTTATATTGAAAAATAATTGAGATTTTTTGTTTCAACCCAAAGGAAGAATCTCATTTTTCCCGAATTTTCAAGAGAATTTCCATTTGACAAAAAACAGTTGAACAATAAATAAATTATTGACACTATGAATGTGTCAAAATGATGAGAAGGGTTACAAAAATAATAATAATAATGATCGAATAGAGTTAACGAATTTGTACCTGCCGAACGAGAGAAAAATACGAGTTGTGTGCGAAAAGGTTTATATTAAAATAAACAACAAAAATTAATAATAATAATAAACATGTAGAGATAACGTTAATTAGTATGTAATTATTATTATTATTATTATTATTATTATTATTATTATTATTATTATTATTATTATTATTATTATTATTATTAATATTATTATGACTATTACTATTATCATCATCATCATGATCATCGGTCATTATCATTATAATAATAATAATTATTATTATTATTAATAATATTATCATGCGTTAATTATTATAATGTTTGTTAACGTTATCATCGTATATTATTGCCGAGAAAAAAAAACAATATAGTATTTTTTATATTATACTTAAGAATAAAAAAAAAAGAGAGAAAGAGAGAGAGAGAGAGGGTGAGAACCTAAAAAGGTTTCTCAAAGTACGAGAATTAAATTAAGTATGAAAAAACAAAAACAAAAAAATAAACATTGCGAAAATGCAAAATGTTAAATGCGACCATTGTGAGTGTGAAGTTGAACGTGTTGTTTAAAATAAAAAATAAAAAAAACAAATAAAAAACAAATGGATGATAAACAAATGATTGAATAATATTTAAGATTTTAGATCTAAAAAGTTGACCCTTCTCAAATTAAAAAAAAAAAAAAAAAAAACAAGAAAAAAAAAACAAAAAAAAACCATGGGGGAAATATCTCTTGAAATATCGCGAATAATTTGTTAGAAATGAATTTGTTAATTAAGCCAAAAGAAAAAAAAAAAAGAAAGAAATTGGCTACAAAAAGGAAAAAAAAAACAAAAATACTAAAAAATAAAATAAAATGATGAAATTGTTTAAAAGTAGAATAATTCGTAATCATTTGACGATGATTGAATTAAAGTTGATTTTTTTTTAATTTTGTTTGTGTTAGTAAAATCAAATTCCATGGTATATAGCATATATATATTTATAACAAATCGTATAATTTTTGTGGGTTTTTTTTTTTTTTTCAATTGACTATTATTTTTGATTTCTATTTAAACTATATGAAATTAATCTCGTGTTTCATCTTTCTCTCTCGTTTTGACATTAATTTGTATTTCTTTTTCTCACTCTCTATTTAAATGAAACAATTGAATTATTAAATAATTAAATGTTCAAATATTTGTTTCGTAAAAAGCGTGCTGGTGGAATTATTTTTCATAAATTAATAATTAATTAATAATAATTAAATTAATTAATTTATTTTACATAATAAATTCAATATATAAATTATTACATTAATTAATTATTATATTTAATTAATTTAATATACAAATTATTAAATTTATTATGTTAAATAAATTAAATAAAATTAAAATTAAATAGAGTATGTTTATAATATATATAATTTTATATTAATAAAATTATTAAATTAATAACAATTGATCTTGATTGATCAAAGTTTATGATACCCTCCCATAAACTTTGCTACCACCATAATTTCATTTGCTAAAACACCCACGCACTTTACGAACCAAATTGTTAAAGGTGTACTTTCATATGCAACCTATGTTAATAAAAAAAAAAAAAAATAATATTAACAAACAATTTTAACATAGAGAAAAAGAAAAAGAAATATTTCTATAAACCTTTGAAACACTTTCCTTCACCCTTACTCCCTTTTTCCAACCCTTTCTCAATCACCAATCCGACTTTGAACGTGTACGCATAGGCGTATGCGTTTATTATAAATAAAACGCTCATGTGTAATTTATTATGTATATGTATAACTGTATTTTTGTATATCGAGATTTTTTCTAATTATATTATCTAACATTTAAGACGTATTGACGAATAAACAAATCGAAAGTTGAGTTTAATTTAAGCTGTTAAATGAAAAAGAAAAGAGAAAACAAATTATTCATGTCTGCTTGCCATTTGTTTAAAAAAAAAAAACCGATTTCACTTTTGTAAAACGCGAATTGACTCGTGTAATAATATTTGCGTGTGTGATGATGATGTTTAGTGATCGGTTTTAATGAATAATTAATAAAAAAAAAAAAATTATGTACGATTGACAAGAACAATAACAACAAATTCGACGAGACTAAGATTTCGCTGATTGATATTTGTTTAATAACAATTTATGACAATTTTTAATATTAATTAATTATTTCATCTATTTGTGTATCTTTTTTTTTTATATTTATCTTGAAATTTTTGTCTATTTAAAATACAACTAGCATAATTTTATTCAAATTTTTATTAAAAATTATAGATAATATAATATTTTCTATTTTTTCAAGTATTAACTATATATATACGATATATTTATATAATTATAATTAATATAATTATTAAATATATATTATATAATATTATAATATAGGGTGAATTGGAAAGAACATATTTTCAAACTTTAGGATTGCATTCTACACGTAAAAATAATTTAAAAAATACAAGTTCGAATTTAGTTTATTATTTCAATTTTTCTTAACAAATATATATATTTTACTTTTATATAATATAATATATATAGGGTGAATTGGAAAGAACATATTTTCAAACTTTAGAATTGCATTCTACACGTAAAAATAATTTTTAAAAAAGAAGTTCGAATTTAGTTTATTATTTCAATTTTTCTTAACAAAATTTACTTTTATATAATATAATATATATTATATATATAGGGTGAATTGGAAAGAACATATTTTCAAACTTTAGAATTGCATTCTACACGTAAAAATAATTTTAAAAAAAGAAGTTCGAATTTAGTTTATTATTTCAATTTTTCTAAACAAACTTTACTTTCCCCAAACGAAATTCTTAGCACAAAATTTTCTATACTTTGTTTAAAAATAAAAAAAAAACTAAATAAATGTCGAATTATTAAATTAAAGCAAAATAATCGAATGTATTACTCGATAGTTTTTTCATGGCACCAATGCTGAGCCACCGGACGCCATAGTGTTAATAATATTTATTTGAATTTAATCAAATGATTAGCTTCTTATTTATGCACACTAATACAAATGTTTATTAAAAATATGAAATTGATACACAGAATTAATATCAGGTTGTACAAAAGAGGGTAGAAATATGGAATTAATTTTAGGTTAGTTAGAAAAAAAAGAAACGAGACTAGTGCCATCTGGTGGTACAGAGTTTTATTGCAGTCGCCATTGCTATTCCAACATTTGTGTTTTTTTTTTTTTGAATTAATTTTATTCGTAGAATAGTTTGGGGGTGTTTTTTTCCAATTCATTTCATCAATTATTCGTAATACGATCATTTTATTATTAATGTTTATATCTTTGACAAAAATTTCAAAATTTCAAGGTTATATTTACAACAAATATAAAAAAAAGTAAATCAGCGACATCTTAGACTCAACGTTAAGCGTTCCAAAAACCCATAAAATGAGAATCTCTTTGCGTAAAAAATAATAAATCCGTATTATTATTATAAATAAACGGATTTAATTTTGAAACAAATAAAATGAACAAGGGAAGAATAAATAATATTCAAAAAAAGAAAAATGTCGAGGAAAATTAAAAAGAAATGAAAAAAAATGCGTTAGATGTGTTTTTGGGCAATCAAAAAAAAAAAAAACAATTGTTTGCCGTGTGACAGGAATAAAAACAATTTGTTATTGTAATTATCAAACAATCCCACATAGCCATTCATTATTATTATTATTATTATTATTATTATTATTATTATTAT